CCTTTTTATACCCCGAATCGTGATGGATCTCGTTATTTCCTTACCATTGTGGATGATTACACCCGTGCTATTTGGGTATTTCTGATGCAATCCAAAAGTCAAACTTTTTCCTATCTGTCGAATTTCTTCTCATTGATTAAATATCAATTCAATAAGTCCATCCAAAAAATTCGCACAGATAATGGACGAGAATTTTTCACCACTGAGTGCAAATCTTTTCTATCTTCTCATGAAATACTTCATGAAAGTTCTTGCACCTACACTCCCCAACAAAATGGGGTTGTAGAACGCAAACATCGTCATCTCCTAGAAGTAGCTCGAGCACTCAAATATCAAGCTTCCATTCCTGAAATTTTTTGGGGAGATTGTGTGGTCACGGCAGCATACTTAATCAATCGCATGCCAACTCGAATTCTTGAAGGACGGACTCCTTTTGAAGTGCTCTACGTAAAACAGTCGGATATTGCACATTTAAGAATTTTTGGCTGCTTATGTTATGTGACTATTGTGGGCCCTCGAGATAAAATTGATCCCTGTGCTCTACTATGTATCTTCATGGGATATCCCCCTCTGCAGAAAGGTTACCGAGTTATGGAAATATCCACAGGGCGTTTCTTTGTAAGCCGAGACGTTGTTTTCCAAGAAAATATTTTTCCATTCCAGAAGACAACATCTTCATCTGAGTCACCTATATCGACATCCAAGCATCGACAGTTCTTATCGGAAGAAGACTTAGCTGTGAATCCACAATATGGCTTTATTGCATCGGATCACGTTTCATCTCTACCAGCAAATCCTGGATCCTCAAATCAAGTCATTGAATCTCTAGTATCTCCTGATATGGAAAACAATTCACCTGCTCCTATTGAAGAATCTTATTTGCCAGTTTCCGAGCAAATGACCACTGTTGAGGAATCTTATTTGCCAGCTTCTGAACAGATAACTACTGAACAACCTCGACGCTCTGGACGTCATGTTCGCCCTCCTACATGGACCAAAGACTATATATGTCCCACATTGGACTCTCCAGGTACACATCATCCTGTTTCTTCGTATGTCTCATTTAGTCGACTATCGCCAGAACACATGTGCTGTATTAGTCGGATATCTGAGGGACGGGAACCTTGCTCCTATGAGGAGGCATCACGTGATTTACACTGGCAGCAGACTATGGAAGCTGAACTACGTGCCCTCATAGATAATCATACCTGGGATCTTGTTTCTTTGCCTTCTAATAGAAAACCAATTGGTTGCAAATGGGTCTACAAAATCAAATACAAGGCAGATGGTTCCATCGAACGCTATAAAGCTCGGCTTGTTGCTAAGGGATTCACGCAACGAGAAGGTTTTGACTATCATGAAACTTTTTCGCCTGTTGCCAAGGAAGTAACAGTTCATTCATTCCTCTCCGTTGCTGCCTTTCGTAACTGGGAATTACATTAAATGGATGTCCATAATGCTTTTCTTCATGGCGATCTGGATGAAGAAATCTTCATGGAAGTCCCACAGGGTTTACGAAGACAGTGGGAGTCTCGAGTATGTCGTCTCTATAAATCTCTGTATGGACTTAAGCAGGCGTCTCGGCAGTGGTATGCCAAATTTACCACTGCACTCATAAATGCAAGTTTTCAACACTCAAAGCATGACTATGCTTTATTCACGTGGACCAAAGGTACTTCATCAATTTATTTACTCTTATATGTTGATGATATACTCATTATGGGAAATGATGACTTAGCCATCAGAAGATTTAAAGAATATTTGCATTCTACTTTTCATATCAAAGATTTGGGACCGCCCAAATATTTCCTTGGCATTGAAATAGCTCGATCCGACAAAGGAATATGTCTTAGCCAATGAAAATTCATTCTAGAAATAATATCAGAAGCAGGATTATCAGGATGCAAACCAGTCGTCATACCTATAGAACATAATGCCAAATTGATGACACATGAATATGATGCGAGTTCATCATCACCTAATGAAGACCCGTTCCTTAAGGATCCATCAGGATATCAACGACTTGTTGGGAAGTTGATCTATCTCACCTTGACTCAGCCCGATATATGTTATGCGGTGCAAATACTTAGCCAATTTATGCATAGTCCAAAACAGTCACATATGAATGCAGCATTCAAGGTTGTAAAATATCTAAAAGGATGTCCTGGACTTGGAATTCTTTTATCTCGAGATTGCAACATGATAATGACGGTATATTGTGATACGGATTATGCTACTTGCCCAATGACCAGAAGATCAATCACTGGTTTCTGCATTAAGTTGGGAAGATCCTTAATTTCATGTAAAACAAAGAAGCAATCAACTGTCTCATTATCATCGGCTGAATTAGAATATCGAACTATGGCAAAGACTATTTGTGAGATAGTTTGGATACAGGGTCTACTTTCAGACCTCGGAGTACAAATAGATGGCCCAACGAATTATTTTGTGATAATGATGCCACACTTAAGCTAGCAGCAAATCCGGTCTTTCATGAAAGAACTAAGCACATAGAAGTTGATTGCCATTTCACTCGAGATAAAATTCAAGAAGGAATAGTCACGACACGAGGAATCGGGACTGTGGAACAACCTGCAGACATTTTCACCAAACCATTGTGTCAAAGACAACATGCGTATTTGCTAAGCAAGCTAGGCGTCTTCGACATACACAAGCCGCCAGCTTGAGGGGGAGTGTTGGAGAAACGATTTGATTCTATCCGATTTGATCTTTGATGTGATTCTAATCACAGATTCAGTCAATCCTCAAGATTGGAATATTCAGACAATAGAATAGGAAAAAACATCCTCATGTATATTCTTTCCTATTTCTTCTTTACCTTCTTGTACTATATATACATCTTTGTACATGTACAATTATTCACTGAGAAATACAATTACAAATTTCCCCCACATATCCTCTTATTTTTGTGTCAGTCACTGTTGAAGATCCTGTCAAAATGTAGAACTTGTCGAAGAGGATTGTCAAAGCTAAAAGTTACCCAATGGGTGAAGATACAGACGGCGATAGTGTTGAAGTTATCAAGACTCTGGTTGTAGACTATGAATGATTAAAGGACTTCTGGGATGGCGGACAGGCATCATAATATAAGTTTTTCAACCCTGTGGTACTTCAGAATCCTGCGATATGCTTGTTCAGTTACTTCAGTGTGGTTTGGAGTAATTGGTCGATTGCTGAAAAGGATGACGTTTAATGTGGCGATTGTACATGATATACGGTTCAGCTTGGGTCTTCAAGCTCGTGGATTTGTAGAAGGAAGCTTACATTTTCACATAAGTTGCTGGAAAATTACTCGTTGCCCCACTTTCACATGGCGTCGACTATCACTGGTTTTGCTAGCAGGGCCAGTTCAGTAAGGGAGAAGTTCAGATTTGATGAAGAGTAGATAGATGCTGTGACCTGCTTTTTGTTGAACCAACTTATGGTGCAGATGAAATTGTGGGCAATGTTTGAGTCATGGATCCATCATTGAGCAACGTTTGAGTGATGGAATTGAAGTAACTGAAGAGCATGTATCTTCTGGCCATGTTTGACGTCTGTCAGCCGGAAAAGGAAGCAAGCTGTTGGTCTCTTATTTTACTCGTAAGTAGAGTCTTCGGCAAATTCAGAGAGCTTGGGAGGCTGACAAGAATCCTTGCTCCTTTTTAGCTATCCACGATTCTCCCTTTCTTTTTGGCCAAGGAATCATAAAATGTAATCTCAAGTCCCTGAAATTACTTGAAAAGAAAAGAAAAAAAAAACATTAACTTGATGAACGAGTTTAAAGGGAAGGGTTCTCCTCCTGCTGTTTCTTCTTACCATGATCTTACCAGGCTAAATATCGAGGAGGGGAAAACAAGGACTCATGTTTTGTTTCTGCCGGGATGGAATAGAGGGCTTGTTGATAAAGTGGCAAATATGCATTAAACAGACTGTACTCGCTTGTGGAGTTTTAAATAGAGAGGTCTCATTTGCGGATTCCACGAGGATTACATGTTGGAGAACGGAGGCAACATTCCTAGGATAATTTGTAGGAACCACGTGTGGGCTCTCCCCTGTAGCAATCACACGCATGTCTCCACAGGAAAAATGAAAACATGCACGATCTATGGATTACAGGGAGATTTGCTCGAATTCATTGGAGATGGTTACAGTTATGGTGCATAACTACAGGGGATGTGATCTATGAGAACCAGGTATGTCGAAAGCAACTCGTAGACTATAGTTTCATGTGAAACTGCGAGTGACAAATAAAATGTCAAGCCGAATGCCTTGATAGAAGAGAACTTCATGGCCACAAGGAGAGTAAAGTAGGAAGCTGATCGGAGGATGTGTGATGTTGTAGAGGTGAAGACGATGCAATAATTGTTACTGCTGAAATCTCCAGAAGAAAGTGATGACGGTAGCTTCATGCAGGTATTTATAGATACAAGAGTGCTCATATGATCCATAAAGAGTATAGGAATGACCAAAACAAGAAGCAGATTCTCATGGCATATTTCTACATTTGTGTATAGTTCACCTGCCTACCTTGTTTTCTATTACTTTTCTTAAAATCCCTATGCCAACCTACTTTGAAGCAGATTCTCATTGCTAGTCTCGCTTTACCCTCTATTCCAAATTATCATTCCCTGAGTAATTGGTTATTATCTGCACGCATTAATTAAAAAGCTTCGCTTGATATTCAGCCAAAACTGGAAGGTCTGAAAAGGACTAACGTCTTGGTTTTGTCGTTGTTATTTCAATACATATGATGTAGTTAATGGAATGCTTCACTGCCAGAGACCACATAAAGATCAGTTTGTGCCTTCTATAATAGTCGGAAGTTCGTATAAGCTGGAATATACAACATTGAATGACTTGGAAACTTCCGTACATATGAATTTGCTGAAGCCTACGTAAAATGAATTAGCATGATATTTATGATGATTAAATTCCTTCACTACGATTAAACAAAGTATTTATTGAAACTATTGTAGGCATGTCTCCACATTGCAACGTTATATTATAGGGAGCTCCTCATTTACTAACTTCATTTTTTATTTACAAGGTTGATGCTCATTGCTGTTATAACAGTCACCCATGTGGAAGAGAGCAAATACCTGTTCTTATGATTGTTCTATCTGCTTACACTGTACATTGACAGGTCTGCCCAGACTTTTGAAAGTCAACGCCATCTTATTAAAGAAATACATGGAACACTTAGCTCATAGAAAACGCTTATCAGTGGGCCCGCTGCTTCCCAATGAATTTCTATGTGGATGGGAAGCCGGATGGACGGATATACGGATGGTGTGGCCTTGGGATGTTCTATACACATCCATGCACTCTTCGAGGTCAGCATCACATGTCAAAAGAACCCATTCCCTATCGTCATCCAAATATTTTAGGTCGATTTCACCAACATCTATACTGAAACGCTTTGCAATCTCTTGTCGCAGATCTGCAAAACCCCATGTTGGTTGCAACACCAACCGGATTTTTTCTTCCCCGAACGTGGCCTTCACTTTGAAAATTAGTCCATCCTGAAGATACTGCCCCTGAAAGTTTGGTAAGGGAAGCTCGCCAAATGACTTGTGGCTATGGGATCTCGCAAGAATCTGGGGTTCATTTGTAGGTGGAACATGTAATTCTGCATGACTGCGAGCCCTCTTTAGTAATTTAAAAGGGTCTTCAATCATCTGATCATTTCTGCTGCTTGAGGCTGGGATGGTGGTAGAATCCATATTTGCTCCAGTGGAGCAAGAAGTGCTTGAAGGGGAGCTCCGACTGCATGATGCAGATGGAGAATTCGAAGTGGTGGCTGCAGAACTATCTATGTTGATATCAGGCTGATGATCTGTTTGTTTTGGAGGATCACTCTGCTTTGATGAGCTGGGTCCATCTCCAGAGATCTTCGGACTTAGTTCGGGGAAGCTTGCATAAAAGGACCCAAGCTTGATAGTACCCTCAGTTCCTTGGACCGAGTCAATTACGTGCTGGAGTTTCTTTAGGGAATGATTTACCTTCTTGATCTTTCGTGAAGGCCACCGGGTTATTCCATGCTGCCGGCATATCCTTTTGAGAGTCGTTGGACACACTGCATGATATAAACTGGAATGGTTAAGGAGCAACAGTGGGGAAGAGAACATGCCTTTATGAAAGAAATGAATAAGGCTCCTTATTGCCATCCACTGTTACCAGAATTCTTATTGCTGCTCCAAAGTCAGCAGTTCCTGGAAATGGAAACTGCCGAGGATTTGCACCCGATAGAAGAGAAAAGATCCAAAAGAGCAATTGTATGGTTCATAAGTTCAAAGGATCTTATATTGAGATCAAGCACAATGGTGTGAACAGTAAAATTTTACTCAACATTTTATTGGATAGTTAGGGTGATTGAGATGACTGAGGATATTCGCAGATGGTTCTCTCCTTGAGCTCATCACATGGAGGAATGCTGCAAAGATTATTTCTGTTTATCAGAAGAATTGGTGGAAGAAAAATTAAATTTGAATGAGGCAGATAATGGGAAGGTAAGCGACTGATTTGTAATTCTGAGTGCCTGGAGGGTCATGTGACATTACAACATCGATACTGGGGCATTGCGAGGACATAAGTTTCAAAGAGAAAAGTCAAGTGAAATCTGGAACTTGAGAATCTTCGTTGATATCTGTATGTTCTTGCAATAGATTATATAAGGGAAACCCTAACGTGAAACTACCCCAGAAATTGCTTTGACCTAAGCATTTATTTTTCTTGGATTAGTGGAACTCGAGCTCAGCTAAATCGACTGTTCGGTGGATTTGAGACCATTTACCAGTTTAGGTTCTAAAGAAGGATGCAGTTTCCTGCTGAGACTAATGCATGCTTGCGCAATTTATGAATCAGTCATTTAAGAGTACCAAATTGAGTGATTAAACTCATTCATCTCCAGAGAATCTACACTAGATTTTGAATCTTGCAGTTTTAAGAAACAGAAAAATGCTACCTCCTATTTTTTTTGCAGCATCTTTGAGGCTTCCAGCAAAGTATTGTCGGAGAACATCCATGCTAATAGTCTTCTCCATCTTAGTTTGTCCCTTCTGACCAGCTTTTCTGGTACCTCTTGAGGCTTCCAGCAAAGATGAAGAATCGCTCCTGCCCTCAACACCAGTGATGTGCTCAGAATTCTGCTGAAGGTGCCAAAACTCCTGATGTTGCGTTGTTACGTTGAATGATTCTTTGGTTCCAGTGGCGTAAGTTGATGAAATGGAGACTCCATTGCCCATCGTCTGAGTCTCCACCATGTGAGCAATCCAGGATGACTCTTCCGAAGAGGTTCGTTTCCTAGAAGAGGACACTACCTCGGTTTCTTTCTTCTGAAGCCTCTTCTCCGTGGCAACTCCTATCTCTCTAACAGGCAAAACAATTGTCCCACTAAGATCTTTCTCAGTCAAAAACTGAGAATTCTGAAATGCTTGATGTACGTCAGCACACAGCAAGTTCAGTGTCCGCTTTCCCCTCTCCATGTCTTCAAAATCCTTCGGTAAAAAAAGCTCCAGTACAAATTCAGCTAATCCCGTGTATATGTTTATCACGGGAATAGCCAAGGCAGATTGTAACCCGAACATTCTAGCATGGTGAGAGAGTGGATAATCAATGTGGCCAAAGGCAGTTATATCATTGGAGAAGCAGGGTTTATCTGTTGTGAATGCTTCTCCAACAATTCCTTGGCCCTTTAGAAGGTGATGCTCAGAACATGCCTCATGAAACCCAAGCATTTTGAGATCCGCTACCAAGCAAGCGGAGTCCATGGTGGAGAGGCAGAGAGAATAATTCTCGTCTGAATGCCGGCATCCTTCTTTGCCTTGTTTGATGCACGAGGCCCAAGTCAAGGCTATTGGCAAATTGTATGTCTTGTTCACAAACTTCAAAACCTCTTGAATTTGTGGTATTACTGCTTCGTACAGCACATCGACCTAAAAGGCAAACCACACGTGAGAAATGGAAACGGAATTCCGGGCTTCAAGAAGGTAGAGATTTTATGTACCTTCACAGTAGAGGGGTTGAAGCTTTGGGTACTTCTAAGATCAACAGCCTGCAAATATTTATAAGCTTTGTGAGACCTAGAAGGTAAGTTCTTATTTAAGTTCACAGGTGACAACTGACAACCTAATATTATAAATGAATAGACTTAAGCATGACCTTTTGGTGGTTTTGAAAGGTTTTTTGCTTTTTAAAAGAAATCATGCGGGATAACTGACTCACACAAATGAATTATTGTACCAAAATAATGTAGGGTCATTAAAGGAGAATTGCAAAATGAAACATACACAAAAGTATTATTTGCACTTTGCTATCTAAAATATGAATTTGCTAAGGTGTGATGTAATAACCCAGCACTATATACCTTGGCATCAGAAATTTTAAGTTATCATGAAATGCAGATAAATGAAACATTGAAGTCTCAAAAAGTAAATACAAATGTTGGAGGAAAGACCCTTTGATCAGTTTTATCTATTCAGATTTCAGCTTTATCATATCCTTCTCATTGTTCTATTGTTCGACCTTCGACCAAAAGATACCATTACTGCAATTTTCCTCTGTAGAACTTTGAGAGCTTCAAGATAACCTAGAGTGGGAGAAAGGAAGCAACCTCCAAAGCTTTACAAACATTCTCCAGATCAGGACGGTAATTGATCCTTTGAGACGTCATCACGATCTCAACAACACCCAGGCACGTCCCACTCCCGCGTTCGAAGACTGGAACCGCAAGAGACCCGCGAACATCGTACTGCCGCGCATAATTAATGCGCGGGTATTCTTCGGTACTGAAGAAACGGACATCAGGAGTCCACTCAGGAAGCTTCCCAATGAAAACACGGCCCGGCAATCCGATGTGGTCTTTCGAATCATCATCAGCTGAAAATTGGTATGATTTAGATACACTTCTGTATATCTCGAGGCTTCTTGAGTTGAGACCGAGTGAAAAGGGCTGGTCTTCTGTTGTAAGCACCTGCCTGCCTTCTCTCCTAACCGGCACCCATATCTGGATAAGCATATCTCTGCCTTTGCTGGATTCGCTCAAGTGACTAATAGCCTGCATTAATCTCAGCTTTATAGATGAAGATAAACCCGGACTGCTCTTTGGCGCGATCCACATTCTTTTACTTGCTTCGGTACCTTGAACTTGGCCAAGAGATGTGGCGTTTCCAACAGAATTCGCACCTTGAGTTCGAGGTTCCACGAGTTTGCCAGTTTGAGGATCAGCCGAAGGTGAAATTCCTGAAAAGTTATTTCCTCTAGTTTCTTCTTGAAATGCATTCTGATATGATTCGATACTTGGATTACCAGTATGAGTCTCCTCTGAGACTGAATGGCTCAGGGCTTCATTTGGAGCAGCAGAAGTCGGACTCTCTGGGAAGAGGCTGAAAGCATCAGCTGTTTCTACCCAGCAACCATCAAGAAAGAACTCATCTAAGAAATCCAGGTCGATATCAACATCAGAAATTTTCTCAAACGGAGACTTGGGTGTGGGGGGACCATAGTCCATCGCAGCTTGTCCCTTGAGTCCAGAAGTCACTCAAATCATTACAGGCACGATTATGATCCAAGAAAGAAAACTACAGTAGAGATGGAGGATGAACTTCCACCGAGGATTTAGCCCCGAATCCCAATTCTCAATCTGTTTAATTCAAAAAAACATTGTGAACAAAAATGGCTCAGAAACTGCAGAAAGAAATGCATTATAGAAGGAAAGCTACCAATTCGAATTGCCAGATTTAACTCTATGAGCCTTCGTTCATCATCACCAATAAGAAATTAGGTTGGACTGTAAGACAGCACTATACCAGAGAGACAACAGGAGAGGAAAAATCCCATGAACCATGGTCATAACTCGAAAACTCAAGTTCACAAATTTCCCAGAAATGGCACTCCAAAGCACAAAATGAAAAGAACAAGAGAAAAGAGAGGGTGCAATCAGTTTCTGAACATGGGTGAAAAGAAAGAGAGACAAAATGACAGAGTGATGAGTCCAGAGCAAAACAACTCACCCACCCAAAAGAATCTTAATTCCCCCAGCAAGAAAAATCTTAACTCAGAGGCAACACTTCGCCCCCATATGCTAAGTCAGAGAGTCTCAGACCAAAGGGCTTTGGTCACCAGAAGACAACCACGAACACGCAAGAAAGAGAAGAGCTATTGCTTTCTTCAGATAGTGTTGGAATATAATATCATGACATCACCCGTTGCCATAGAATCTCCCAAACTCGGTCATGACCCACCAAACAAACACACGGCTCCATCAGATTCTTCTCCTTGTGATTGTTTGAAGTCTACTGTTCCTGAGAGAGAGAGAGAGAGAGAGAGAGAGAGGGTTTCTGGTGACGGCTCTGTTTTTCCCCCTGTTGCTGAGATCCGTGAGAGTTGCAGCCGTTTGCGGTTTTTCTTTCTTCTTTGTTTCATGTGAAAATAATTTACAGGTAAATTCGGTTCTGGCCGGGTTCAGTGAATTAGTGCTGTTCAAGGGAAGATTCCCAAACAGAGATTCCTTATCTATTTCCAATTGGAAAATACAGCAGAGGAGTCCACTTTTTCCTTTTCTTCTGTCTTCTTTTGGTCCCCCTTTTTCTTTTGACTAAAAGTCATCTTAAGCACTATATATAAGCCATTTCACTGGCTAGATCAAAAGTGAAATCATATATCCAAACCAAGGTGGGAAGATGCTTTAGTTTTGCCTGGAGTCCATCAGTTTACTTCGAATGTATTGTCTAAAATAGAGGTCTGTGCATCTCTTGTTTATTCTATTCAGTTTGTTGAGGTTCTACATGGCAGAGGCAGGGGGATTATTAATGACCAAGTGCACGATGAATGTTCTATTTTCTAATGTCACTCGCCTTTTCTCCTTTTCCCGATCGCGATTTTGGAAAATTAGTATTAGTTTAGAATTCAGGTAAGAAAAGGGAATGAATTGAATTTTCATTTCCCACTAGCCATCTATGATGAATTATGTTTATGACAGAAACAGCGAGATTCTCAAATAAAAGGAGTATGCATTGTAGCTTTTCTAGTAAAAAATTTCAATAAAAGGAAAAGAAATACTGATGATCCGCAGAATAAGAACTTCTTTTAAGTGTAATATAGTTTTGATGTGGCTAGGTCAAGAATTCACGGCGACTCGGTGAAAGCGAGTCGTTGCAAAGAAAAATTATCAAATTTCCCTGCCTCTGCAATCAATTCTTGACATGTCTTTCGGCTTGCATCAGATTGAAGCCTTAACCAATTAGCAGACTCCAAGAAATGTCTAGTTTTTATACAGGTTCAGGGGTTACCCTCAAGCTGCGCATGTTGGCCACATTACATGTGCCTCTCGAATTGTTTGGGAGGCCAAAGGTCTCTTCTTGAACTTCTCTTGCTCGAGTTGCCGCATCTTCAAGTACATGGCCTCAGCCGCCCTTCTTATTATTTTATCTATCCCACTTTTCCCTCACACATCGAAAGATGGTTTTTTCTTTATTATTATTGTTCATAGCTCCATTGTAATTTGGCGATCCCTGCAGCTCACCTGCTAACCCGACTTCCAACGGAGCAGGTTGGATGCATCTCGCCCTTAAGATTATTCCATGTCTCACTATTTACTAAATCATTAGGATCTTCTGATCGAAAGCTCGCTTCAGTCTCTGGAGTAATGACTTGAGGTCAATCATCTTGTTGACTGTTTTCAGAGAAACCCCTTTCTCAAACAAGCACAAGTGCCGAACCTGATGGATGATACTGGCTTCTGCTCTTACAATTTGATCCGGAAGCATCTTGGGTCAGCCCGAAGTTTGATAAGTTCAAGAGTATGGCAAGCAGGGATGAGGTCCCACCAGGTGTTGCTTATGAGGAAGCACCAAAACTAAACAGATAAAAAAATTGATGCTGATTAAGCTAATACTGATTGATGACTCTAATAACAAGTTCTGGCTGTCCTCCTTAAAGTTTCATCAGCAAAGTCCACATCATCCATTTGTTTTTTACTTAAGTTTGTGCAAGGTGAGCCACTGCTTCTGCCATCCTGGTAAGAGGAAGTTTTCAACCTGAGAAGCAATTTCCATTATAAGCTGAGCAATGAAAGGCCAAACTGATGCTCTTAGCAATGAGCAAAATGAATGGAAAATTCGTACAAATTTTGCCGATAAGATGATTAGACCATGACCCTATTACTCTGTACTTAAACCAAATATGACAGTATCAGAAAGACGCGCCTTGATTGTGAGGTCTGATTTGTTTCCAATAGCCTACACAATCCGATCTGAATATTCACGATACTTTGGACCGATTCTGATTCATCAAAAGCTAATAGCCAACCGATGACAGTATTTTACGCTGAAGGATTAAGAAAGTCGGGCCATTCGTTACTTTTCTTGCCTGTATATGTCAGCTGATGTTTTGTTGAGTGTGAGCTTCTATTTAAATAAGGGAGAACAATTTGAAATGCAATTAGTTTATAGCTGATAATGGTGGAGTAATGAAGTGGCCCTTACGTGCTCCACACAAAACTTTAACTGGTTACTCAGGATTATACTATGGTCAATGATGAATATTCTGAGGCTGCATGTCCCACTTGCACGCTCCAAGTCTGATTCTCAACCAATCCCTGCTTCTTGCAGACGTCGGCACCACATCAGGACACGAAACTGTCGCTCCTAAATGACATAATGGAAGCCAAACCCAGTGTGCTTTTAGGTTGAATGCTTTTTTTTTGCATCTTACTAATATGCTCACACCTGTTCCACTCAAATCTAGTTGCCTATGTTCCTCAATGGCAGTTTTGAACGCGCACATGGATCTGTCCTTAGACGTAGGTAAGGCAAACTGAAAGGACACGTTGAGAAAGTGGGGTACATAGCAGACGGTGTTCAAAGGATGCTTTTGGTTGTTCCTGATAGATCTAACTGTATCAATCAATAAAGGCGTGGAATTGGTGGCGGTAGCGATAGAACTGTTCACATATCATAAGACGATTAAAAAAATCTCGACTCCATCTGGAAATCTCTTCAACCGTTCAAGTGGAGAAGGATTAATTCTGACGTGATAATAGGAAAACTGCTTTCTTTGTGGACTGCACCTTTCTTTCATCCATCATTTCAAATTTTACCTCGTAAACTGACAAGATGACATCCTGTGTTCCATGCACAGGAGGTCATGCATATTTCGTTGAGATGTATAGTCAAAAAAATTTACCTCCTTTCAGCTGTGACCTAATATCACCTCAGGTATGATTTATCCTATGTACGAGACTATGAAGGAATCGCTGAATTCTTATCAGTAGAATTCCAGACTAACCAGATAAACACAATCCAACTTTCTTAAGCCACTTTTCACTTGTTGATTAATTTATCCTACATACGCGAATATGAAGGAATCACTGAATTCTTATCAGTAGAGTTCCACATTAACCAGAAGAACATAATTCTACTTTCTCAAGCCACTTTTCACTTGTCAATGTATCCATACAGGCCCTGTAAGCGATAGCACACAGGACGAATGTTACATGCTTCAACTAATAAAGTCAAAAATCAATTATTTAGTGAATTATTCTGGTTCTAGTAATACTCTATGTCACTCTGCAATACACGAGCCAATAGAATTGAATGCGCCAACTGGATTCGTGATGGGTGTCTACAAACTCATTTTTCTAATAGCAAGAAAGATTCAACATTTGCGCAGATCGAAGTAGAAAGATTCTAGGTGTCTTGTACTAAACATGGAGGTCCAATAATGCCTTCTTTCGCTGTTGTTGAAAGGAGTTGACTAGTACAAATTAAGAGATAGCTAACAAGGATTCAAGTTGGAGGAAATCAATCCTTGCCCTCGATATAATCTTCAGACAAGCTGAATAAGCAGTAAAAAAAAGCAGTACGCACGTTTGTTAGTCAGATGGTGGTAGCTGAAAATTGATAGAACCTACATCATTTTGCGCAGCCAGGAGGTCATATGGCCTTGAATCCCAAAATACAGGAAAATATTATCCGTTTCAGATCCAAGGACCAATGAAAACGTGATCATTGAACTTTCTGAGTTGTGTAAGTTAAAGAAATACCCATGGTGCGTCGAAAATTCGTGGCTTAACGTGGAATCTGGTCATATGACCAAATGACTAGGCCAGCTAATGCCATAATGTAAAAATGAAGGAACGTGATGTCATCTAAGTTGTGGTGGTTGTTCTTCTTATTCTGTATACTGATGTCAATGGATATTCTTCTCCATACAATATGGAACCATCACTGATGAGTAGAAGTTTGAATGAAGTCATTCTTAACAAGATACACCAGTGTCTGTTTCTAAGTACATGCATCTTTTGTCCCCATTGAGAGTTTCCAGAGTCAAAGCTCAATAATGCGTCTCAGGCATTGTTTAGTATCCATGTCCAAATGCAGGGGATGGTATTGCGGAGCTTATCTAGTCGATAAAAAGATAAGATTAAGTGAACTCTGTCGGAGGTTGTAGTGGAATACCTTTAACCAATGGAGATTTTTTTTGACTTCTCATGGAAGACCTTGAGTTCACAGATCTCAGACCGAAGTTCGTCTTTTAGGACCTACACTACATGGATATACACAAGGATTACTCAAGGAAAGAAAGTCCCATGTCTCTCATTGAAGAAGCTTCATTGAGATTCAGAGACAGCTTAAAACAAAATCTTTCAACAACTTACTTGACTGACAAGTTCTAGGACAATACCATTTGATGAGCACCTAATTCCTTTGGTTCAGCAAGTAAAGAGACAAAGCTGATGCCAGCATTTAAACTTTGCTTCAACCATCTTCCCATTCTGCTTTTCGACAGTAGCCGCTTGGTTTTTCGGCACCAACTTTTGGTCATTCTCTTTCATACTTGTCAACATATTTTTTTCTGTATACAGAAGAAATAGTATATAAGGAATTTTACCTTTCGTCGCCTGAGTCGTCAAAAGTACTATAGACTGGCAATGTTTCTGATCAGTAAGCCCCCCTATTCATGGCTTTTTCCCTCCTCAACTGAGCATTTTACATAACACATGCTTACAAAGAAAAATTGCGTTTGGCTATGCGCTTAGACTGTCTCATTATATACTAGATTCAATAAATTAGCACAGAACCAATATGCGCCGAGACAATTGAATGAGTTCTAATACTTCTATAAGCATAGTAAGATGATTTAATCCGTAACAAGTTCATTATCAAACTTCATGTCATTACACAGCCTACAAACATGACCCTATTTCAGTGACCTATCGGCATTACACCATCTCCTAGCCCTAAATTTATGCAGCACATATAAAGAAACATAAGAACCAAAAGAATAATCTTTAAAGCCCCAACCTCAGGTCCAAAGGCAGGTCTGAAGAGCAAGAGGCGGACTGATCGTATTCTTCAATTGGGGCAGGCAAATTCAAGTCGAGTTCGCAGCTCTCATTCGTTGTGACCGAGGAG